TAAGCTGTAGGTTATTGCTAGGGGGCTTCTTGAGAGGGCCAAGGCAGTGAAAAATGAGGCTGGTGGAAAACCCAAATCATTTTATCTGTTTCCTTTTGCCCGTTCCCTTCTCCCGGAGAAAGTTTATCCTTATGCAAGCCCCCTGACCTTTTAGGACATTCAGAGCTTTCTGAGACTGAAGTATGCGGACGAGTCAATGGCACAGTTTTCTCTGAAATATTGCGTGGTGCCAGCCTGGTGAGGTGGGACTTAAGCTGTACAGAGTATGGGGAAGATGGTGAAGGTATGGTGACAGGGTACTGGAGTCCATCTGCAGGTGTCTGTAACTATTCATCTCAGCGAACCGAGTTTGCCATGCTTACTTAAAACTCAAAATCATGCAGGTGTGAAATTAGGCAAAACAGATCCGAGTTCAACTTCTGAGAAGGTCCAAGAAAATTCCACCCAGCCTCATAGTAAACCTTTTTTTTTTCAGTTAGATTACAGCACCATCTACAGGCCTTTCCTGATTTAAAACTCGCATCAGGCAAGTTGTTCCGCTACCTGTATATATATTTCATGGCTTCAGTGGCATGTCTAGTGCAGTCACAGACTGAACAGTCCAGCTTAGTGTAAACAGGGAAAAATGCCTTTACACTGGGCTTAGAAAATACTTTGGTACACATTACAGACAGGTTTGCTTCTTCACAAGAAGTGGCAAATTTGTGAATGCCCTGAGATTTTAATAGCTTGACTCTAAAACACAGTGTTAGGGGGTCCTTCAATTCAGTTTTATTTTAAATATTCAACTAAAATTGCATGTCTGTTATACAGATCTGTTTAGCACAGTTGAACCAGAACTACAAGAGAGAAAAATAAAAATGCAGAAATTAGATTTCAGCTAAAAATGGAACAGTAGATTTTTACTGTGGTTGTATAGGCTTAAAACACTACTGTCCACATTGGACCACATATGCAGAAGCATTAAGAACTGTTGGTCTACCAGGATTCATTATACTTATCCTGTTTGACTCAGATATGTGAACTCTACAACACAAAACCAGGGTCATCTCTGCCTGGAAACTACTATTTGCTAAATTACTTGACAGACCAAAAGAAATTCAATTGCTCCTACACATTTAGCAGATCCTAACACAAGCACTGATTCAGGGTAAAGAGGGCTGTGGTGAAGCAACCTACAGGATAGAATTAATTGTATTAAAATAGCATCCCTGCATGCCATATTTACCTGCTGCAATAAGGCGATTCTGCCTTCATCTGAAACATCAAGCCACAAACAGAACACAGGCTGACCACTGCTGACATTAAACACAGTCACTCAAAATCCAGCATCAAACTCCAAATAAATAAGAGTTAAATGGGACTCTAGAGAGATTTGGGGGAGAGAAGGGGAAGTCTTTGGGAAAACTTTACCTGCCTCCTGATGTTTTGGCTCTTAGGGGATAAAAAGTTATTTCAAGCTGTTCTCTGCAGCTAGGAGAGAGACAAGTCCTTTCATATTTTAAAGGAGAGTTGAGATTCAAACAAGCATGTGATGAGAAAGCCTGGAGCTTTAAGACAGAATATTAAATATCACAAGACTTGTGATAACATCACAAGTGCTAGCAGCACTGTGTGAATCAGCACACAAAGTCAACTGTAACTTTTCTTTATTTGAATCTCTGCCACGAACATAATATAGCTCTATACAATATCTATGTAATACAGGGACCACATACATAAATGCCTTTCAAATAAGACATTCTCGCCTTCACTTCAAAACAGAGAAAGGGTAAGTGGACAGGGGGAATATGCATGTGTCACATTTACCACCTATGTGAGGATTTTTTTGTCTTAAATGCTGCTGTCTCAAATGCCACATGTGCTATGGAATTAAAAGCCATAAAGTTGCTGTCTTTCCGATGTGTAACAGGACAGAGTGCACACCAACCGCTTTGGATTAATTGCACATATAAAAACAGATTTCTTTTTAAAAAGTCTGCGTGCAGGGAAGAATCATTAATTTTACTTGAAGTGATTCCCAAACAGGATACGGAGCCTCTAACAGCCCTTTGGTTGTGCCAATTGTTTTGTGCAGGTGTTTAATCCAAGTGCTCGACCGCACGTAGGGAACAGTCATTCTGCAAGCACCGGCTGGAGCGGGAGCTGCATGGTGGTGTCACATAGCTGCAAGGGGTTGATTCCTCAAAATCAGCAGAGACCTTGGGAAGCTGCTAATTCTTGTAAACAAGATCCTGGGTTTTATGGAGCAAAATGGAGCAAAAAACACTGAAGTACATGAGAACCAAATCCCTTCTGCAAAAGCCTGTTTTATTATACTAGTGAAGCACTAAAACCTGCCATAAACAAGCTGATTGCTTATTTCAGCCTCTCTGTGTCTGCAGCCAGGAAAAGCAGACACAACTGCAGACTGAGTTGAGTTGTGGGTATAGGAAACATCTCCTGAAGGTCAACGGTCCCTGTATTTTTAGGTTTCATTTGAACTTCCTCCTTCGCACGGACTTGAAAACAATATAAGCATATTTGAGATAAAAGCTGAGCTGCAATTGTTGTAAGCACAATACATCCCACCCTCTGCTTTGTAATGCCACAGTTTGATACAAGGCTGCAGAAAGATTGGATGGCTCCAAGGTGAAGGAAAGGGAGAGGTCCCAAGGCATCACAAAGGGCTTTTGAATCTACTACATCTGATCACGAGGAGTCTGATGAAAAGAAAGGTTCCCTTAAAAGCCAACACGGCAACAGTGAAACAGATTGTGTGCCCACCTCTGACATCCAGGGAAGTGGCTCTGCTGAAGGAATCAGGGTGTTAGTGGCAGTGTCCTGGAGAGACAAAGAGGAGGAGACAGGAATGCTGCACCCCACGGCCTTACACAAAGCGGCTGTCTGCGGGGGCTGAGTTGCAATCTTGGAACTCTCTTGACTTTTTATCCCAATTTCTTTATACAAGGCCACCTGCCATGGCCTTTCCTGCTCTAAGTGACTCAAGCAAGTCCCCAGAGTGGCTCCCATGCGACAGATCTCAAATTAACTCAAGGCCCTGCCTGTGTAGTGGCTTCTAGAGAAGTAAAATCAGGACCTCAAGCTAAAAAAGAGGTGGGAAACTATTAAATGGGTGTAAAGGCTATAGATGATACTTTTGATCAAAACCCAGGAGGTCAGCCCTGAAGAGTGGGATGCAGTCTCAGGAGAATCTGCACTCCAGTCTGTCTTGACCCAGAGTCAGCAGTAGTTTTACTCAACCCTACCCAAAAATTTGTGTTGCATTAAAAATTGACAAGCCAAATATGTAAACTTATTAAAGCAGCTGAAGCACAGAAACACAGATGGCAGTGGCTAAGTGACTCACAGTCCAGCATGCCTCGGAAGTACGACCACAGAGAAACCCAACATTTCCTAGCCTACCTACAAAACATCACTCCAGCCAGCACCAAACCACTCAGTGTGGCAGCAGCACTCTCTACCCTGCACTAATAGCACTGAGCATTTCTACAGAGCATGAACTCTGAAACAGTCTCTTCCACCAAATGGAATGGTTGGTGCCATGGGCAGGGACCAGGGCTGGAAGGGACCACACAAGTTCAGCCTGGATTTCACCAGTGAAATAGAGCTGGCATAAAGCAAACGCATTCACTAATGAATTATTCCAAGATAATTAGCAGTCTAAGGGAGACACTTGCAACAGCTTAATGCTTAGCATCAAGGGAAGCTAGTACCAAGCTCAGCACTGCCTCGGCAACTCACAAAAGGAAACAAGGCAAAAATAGAGGGGAGGGAAACATGAAGGAAGAAAATACAACATCTGTGAGCTGTTAATTACAAAGGTGCACATGTTGGAGTAACAAGGATGTTAATAGAGTTTTATTAGGAGACAAGAGAACTGTTTTCAATATCTTTGTAACAGAGCCAGAGCCCAGTGGGCCCAGCAGTGTGCTGGTGCAAACAGCGTTTTGCCAAAGCCTACTGGGCTCCAATGTCAGCACTCAGCACTTTCCACACGGCACAGCTGGTAAAACTGCCTGTGCGGCGCACGGGAGCTGCAGGGGTCCGCAGTGTTTCATACACTCAGTGGTCACGCACCTGGTCTTTGACACCGATTTGCCTGTTTCAAGCCATAACGAGTGTTTGTTTTCCAGTCCAAGTACTGGCTCTAAGTGTAAAAATCGGCCCACTAACATGCTGGGGAGTTGCACGGGAAAAGCAGCAGCAAGCATACAGTGCCTCTGTAAGGAATACTCCCATGTGAGATCAGTATTTTACCCACATATAAAGGGATAAATAAACAGCGAATAATCTGATATCAATCTTACTCTGCTCTTTTCTCCTTTTTTTTTTTCAAACCATGCTCAAGGCAACTTAATTCAAATGCTCCTGTGCAGTCAGTATGCAGAGCCAAGTTGAGCCCCCACTTATTAAGGAATATTTAGCACCCTCACTCTGAAGCTCTCAGATCAATGGAGTCCACATTCTTAATCTCATGTTGCTCCTGCTAACAATGTGATTACTGTAATGTTGGTCCTGATCCTCAAAGGAAAGAGGATATTAGAGCAGAAACCTCTAGTAATGAAATCTCGTGTAATCAAAGAGTGTTTACAGTGAAACGCTCACATGTTGCCATCAAATCAGAGCCTCACAGTGAGATTTCTGAATGCCTCTGCAATTATACAAGTACCACAAAGTGAAGTTGGGTGGCAGGCAGGTTATTTAACATTTATTGCTACTACACAGCACACTGTAACTCTGCAAGCAAAAAGGGTGCAAGGGATAGCAGTATTTCACAAAATACACAGAGAACATTTATAAGTGCTTTCAGTACATGTTTCTCCTATTAAAAATATACTGCATGCAGCTCAATAAACTGTAAGGGAAAAATCTTTCCAGCCAATGGTAAGAGAATGAAGCAGCCAGATTAAAAAAGAGGTAATGTGAAAAAATTAGGCATGGTAAGCAGAAAGCTCATGGAAGTGCTACCCCCTGTGGAACAAGGTAGTTTAGCCTACCTCATACCTGATGATAGGTGAATCAAAGCAATTTTCTTGTTACCAGTGGAATCAAAAATCTGGTAGAATCTTCTTGTTACCAGTGGAATCAAAAGTGCTGCAAGTGCAAACAGAAACCCTTCATCTGCAAATCCTCTGCATGTGATAAACCCACAGAAGAGAAAGTTATTTGTGTTAGGAAGGGTTGCAGGATTAAGCCCTCAAGAGAGGAGTTTAAGTAACAGAGGGCAGAGTGACTTGCATGCACAGGTGCTTCCACTTGTGTTGGTAAATGCAGTTAAAATACTTGCTTTTGGCTTGTCCCCTGAGTTAAAGCTAAGTGTGACTAAAACCAGCTTCACTTCTTGCAGATCTAATGCCCATTATGATGCTCAGCAGCTCACTCTGCTACAAAAATAGTTAAATGTTGTATTTGAAACAGTCTTTCAGGATGTTCTCAGCAATATCAGTAGCTTTCAGATAGATGCACCCATGTTATAATCAACCAGTTGATCATCCACCTTTAACAGTATCCTACAGTAGTTACCCTCTCCTGAACAAGAAGATCCATAGAAAGACACGAGTGTTTGGCTCTTGGTCACCAACTGATTTTCAGAGGTGGTGCAGGGGATAGGTGGTCAGCTATTAAGCAAACCAGAAAGCCAGATATCTCCTCTGCATGAACTAGCATGCCAGAAACATGGCCATCAGCTCGGCCAGCTTCTGCCAGGATCATCTTCCATCAAGATCACTCTTTCAGGATAGTGCAGGTGCAGTTTGTGAATCCAGTATATTCATCAGCAGAGCCTGGAAGCTACATCAAAAATTGGAGCTCATTTGATCTAGGCACTGTACAGATACATTAGAGACAGGTTCTTACCCAGAATATTCAACTTCTGAACAAATAAGGCAGATAACGGCAGGGAGGGAAAGAGACAGCGGAACTCGCCAAGATCACACAATAAAGGAAGAACCAGTAACAAAAATGTTGTACCCTACCCTGTCTGTTGTGCTGTTCAAGGGCTTTTTATTTTCTGTTCATTACTTCTTAATTATTTTTGAGTACTGGAGAAAGCAAAAAGCTAAAGACAAACAAGCCCCCATAGAGTTAGAAAACATCCCTGCTGTAAGGCAGACTCAAATTGGCTGAGTTTGCAGCCAGAAGAGTTCCCAGGAGAGGGAGCAGAGCCTGCTGCTACAAGAAAAGGGTCAGCTGGCTTCTGAAGCAACAGGTTTGGTTTCCAAAGCCCATGGACATATGAACAGAGGAAGTAAAGCTTGAGGCAGAAACTTGGAGAAAATTGCACCATGGAAGCTGTGCACCCATGAGCAGACTGCATCTTTCAGAGGACAGGAACATGCACTAACAGGCTGCCATGTGCAAGCATGAGATGGCTGAGACACAACTGTACCGCTCTAAACTTGACTCCTTTGGGGTAGGACTGCCCTGGTCCTGCACGTCCTGTTGAAGTTCCACAGCTTTTTAAAATCGGGGCGGCTGGGTTACTCTAACCCTGTGTGCCTGTAAACTAACTGGCAGCTTAAAACCATCTCGGGTGCCACTGAAACCCCACTTTTCTGTACTGTGGAGCAAGTGTCTGGTGGACGGGGTGTGCGCTTTGGTGGACAGCATTCAAAATGAACTGAACACTATATGGAGTGGCTGCATGTACTATGCTACAGAGTAGCATATTATCAAAGCTACTCTGGCTCAATGTAAATGCATTGGGTGCTTACTCAATTTTCAACTCTTCTCAGACAACAAACTCCAGAAAGTATCTTCCATTTTATTAGATATTCTATGCCACAAACTATTCTCTATGGCTTTGTCCAGCACTTCTCTTTCCTTCTCTCCTTGCCCCCCAAACAAAACTCTCAGGTAAATTTCCAACACATATCCATAGCAATTTAATATAAAGTTGGTTTTGAAAAGCATTTGTATGAACCAATTACCAAGTACAAGAGAACTGAGCAACAGTTTTCTTTGATGGAATTATCAGTAACATTGGGTGAAGCAGCAGAACCTAACTTTACAGCATTTGCAGCATTGATTCTCATTCACGTTTCTCAACTCTACAGAAATATTCACTACTATAATGATGTTTTAGACATATTAAGAAAGTGTGTAACCCCCTACATAGCAATAAATATAACTATGAAATTACACTGGTTTTCTGATCTAAAAAATTACAGGGGTATGAATGTCCCAGGTTGCAAAATCAATTTCCATATTCAACTTAAATGTTTATCAGTCAAAACCTTTAATTTCCAGTTCACATCATTATCATGAGTTCTGCTCTGATCTTCCTGCAACAGACCCGACTCAAGTGGAAAAAAAAAAAACAAAACATAAGAGAAAAAGCTAAAAAGGAAATCAGAAACTGAAGCTCCTGCAATGAGAAGGTCAAAATACTGCTTAAGTTTGGAACAGGCAGAGGCATTTATGCCAATACAGAGTCTGTATTACTCATTGCTTTTCCCCAGCTGGGTAGCTTTACCAAACATTATATTCTGCTGGGTCTCAGCTATGATTTTGTTGGACGTTGCTCCACAGATACAAGATACGTAGCCACAACAGTGTAAGTCATATACATTGTGCTCCTATACCATTCATTTGGTTGCAGAACAATAATAATTGCTATGTCACCACTAATCCTCTCTTTTCTGGTCAGGTTTTTTATGTTATGGCTAAGAATGTACTTATTTTGTTTTAGTGACCTGAGAATGTAGATAGGTAATACTTCACACCAGTCTCCTGTTCACACAGATGCAAGCACAGTACAGGTGTGCTTTGAAAACACCGCCACAGTTTCAGAGAGCACAGAGGACTGACGTGTAATTCATGGCCACTGTAAGGCACAGGCAATCAAAGCTGTGATGGAGAACTTCCACCAGTAAAACATGGCCCAAATAAAAGTCCAAAAGGTTTAACATACCCACTGCAGATGACAAGGATCCTGAATAATTGCTCCAGGGATTGTGTGTACTATACAACCATTTCAGTGCACTAAATCAGAGTGGTGATTTGGTTTAAATTAATGTCTCCCTACCACCACTCCTGCATTGATCATGCTGCTAGACCCAAGATAAAATGTCTATCAATAACCTCATAAAGCCAGGGAGAGGGAAGTATTTGCCGGCGACCATTGGGGTGGGAGGTTTCCCTCTCCACAAAAATGCTCTGGTAGGAACAAGAATGCGAAGGGTGATAAGAAGGTTTTTTGCAGGCACCACACATTTAATCTGTCATGCACAGTCGAGAACTGCACTTAATTTACAAGTCAATCTCATCTCCAGTTGCCTCTTTCTTCTGCAATGTTTTCTAACAGGTCTTAGTGGTTCAACTTCATGGTAAGCCTCACTAGGAGGAGAAACTGGCACCAAGAACTAACCTCACTTACAATAATCCATTTCATGTTCCTCTTGGTGTTTCTTTCACATGGAAAAAGCACCAGATTAAAGAAAAACACATGATAGAATTACTTGTCATGCCTGTCTGAATTTTAATTTGTTGAATAAAAACTGTGAATACAATCTGCGGATGGAGATACAAACAAAGAAATAGAACGGGTAGAAATAAGATCTGAAGTCCATCAGTAATTTGATTCAGCTTGCAATTGTGGTCACTAATGGCTGCAGTAATATGCCTGGTTTTAAACAGTTTCTGGTCTGGAAAACTAGACTATCATAATTATTGGAATCGACTTGATGGACATAGTACTAGGACACATAATTTTGGAGAGGGATTCATGTGAATTCTTTTGCTTTCTATGGATCAGCTCTAATGAAAGGCATAAAAACCCTGATTTGTCATTAGTATAATATTATGCAGTCATACTTTTTACAGTTTATTTGTAAACCTTGAGCAGAAAACAAGAGTCTTGAGTCTTGAGCAGAAAAAAAGGGTCTGTTTCATCAGGCATCTGACAAATGTCTTATGAATCCATAATTTCCCTCCTTTTTGGCCTACCCATTTCCTTCTTCCCTACAGTTCTGGTTGAAAGGTTCTTTCTTTTTCTTTTTTTTTTTTTTTTTGGGGGGGGGGTGTTGAATGGATTTTTCTTTTTTAAGGTAAATTACACATGCTGCAAATTCAGTATGACCACAGAGAGGGAAGCTAATCTAAACCCTCTTCACTTGTCATTTTCCTAGGTTACAGTCATGTTTCTTGCCATGAGCTGTATTTTCGGTTCAATGGATTCAGATACCTTTTATGGAATTCCCAAAGGTGCTCAAAGTTGATCTGGCAGCATTTCCTTTAAAAATTAACTTTCACTTGTAACCAGTGTGGATAGGGTACCAAGCACTTTTGAACCCACCCTTAGCAAACTACATGGAAAAGAACTTCTTTAAGTATCATCCTTCTATTTTCTTTGATACCTTCTTCATGCACTTTTACTCTTCTGCTTCTCTATGGTCATAACACGGGTCTCATACCTTTAGAAATGGGTTCCTTTTCTCAATTCTACCCACTATTATTTGACCTAATGCAAAAATCCAAGTGGTTTCACTTGTTTCGTTCTCCTTTCCTTCACATGTTTACCTCTCAATGAGCTTCACAAAGCTTTCCTAGCCTTATATAAAGCATATTCCCTCTGAAGGCACATTGGTAACTTTTATCAGAACACACTTCCCCATATATTTTGTGGTCTCTGCTCTTAAAATCTCCAGGAACTTGCCTGCAACTAAAGTAAAATTTACTAGCCTATTATTTCCTGTTACTCTAGTGCTTCTTTCATAGACTAAGATAACGTTAGTTTCCTTCATGTCCATTTACACCTTTCTGCCTCCCTACAGAACTATTAAATATTGTAATTCATTCAGTATTCTCCTGCAGTGACAAAACCCAGCACGTTCTTATCCCTCCCACTTGCCAAAGACAAGCTAGCAACAAACTCATCTGAGACCACAGATGCTAAAAATTATAGACACGGCCTCTTTCTGTGATTTCCCAAAATAACACAAATCTCTCATAGGTTTTATTGGGATTCCATTTGAACTAAATAACAGTTTTTTAGAAATATACACTCTGTGTTTTAAGAATTTCCTCTGATGGGAAATCCACTACAACCTTGGTTTTAATTTGGCTGCCTTCAGGTTTATCTTGCTAACTGTGAGCAAGTCAACCCTAAACTTTTCTTCAGTGTAGCTAACCAGACAGTTGCATGTGCGGCTCATTTATGTTCTTACAGCCTTTTCGGGTGGCAGACAGATGTTCAAAGGTAAAGCCCAGAAAGAGGGGAAACCAGAAGAGATAATTTGCAAAGTTCTGGCTTTAAAACACATTTCTCAGGTGGGTAAAGAGAATGCAAATTAGATGCCAGTACCATACCTGTCCTCTCCTGGTCTATAAAGCAATAGGGCACACTTGCAGGAAAGCAGCATGGCTGATGCAGACCTTAACAAAATGCTTTCTCTGGGTGCCGTGCTCCCACAACTTGGTCCTTAGCCTCTCCTCTCCCACCAGGGTCTGCAGCCTGCCATTGACAGTGTAGCTGCTGTCAATGCTGGTGGTATGGCAGATGCTGGTGGTATGGCAGATGCTGCTCACCAGCACAAGAACACCACAGTCACTCCCAGTTCTTGGCCACAAACCCTTTTCCTGGGTCAAGTCCTTGAACAGATTGGCTGTCGCTGCCTTGCTTAGCAAACACAAAGAACCCTGGGGCCTGCTGCACACTGATGCTCTCAGGGTCTTTTTCACTTTTCCTAGAATCCATTTTTTTAATAGGCTGGCCCATCTATGAAGGCCTTCTGGCAATCTCTTCCCTAGGCATTTCTTTGAAGCCAATCTTATCCTAAAGCATCAAGTAGCTCTTTAGCTGTGAGGAGGAGTTAAGTGGCCTTGTAAAAGTCACTTGCCAGGAGATTTGAGGACAGATATGTCAGAGCACCTCCAGGGTTTCTG